TCGGGAGAAGTATAAGGGGGGGGGGAATCACCTGATATCTCACTGCACAGAGATAATAGCTCTGCAACGAGTTTGTTGCAGTGTTCTCACGTTACTTTTTATGTGTTTATATTGTATGTGATTCTGAGGGTTTTTATAAAGATTGCGTGAGATAAGGTTTTTTTTCAAACATTTAGTAGCACGCCTGCCCACGTGAGAAATAGAAATAAATACGTTCATTTATGAACCATTCACAAATACTTATTAAGTATGTGCTGTGTGTCAGACTGGGAATATTTGTGTGTGAATCTGTAAATACACATGAGAACACACATTCACACGTATACATATTTATGTATTTACATTTATACATTTACATTTCTATATACTACATGTATACTTTATATAAACGTACATTTATACACAGTTACACAGCATATGCAGGTGCGTATAATTTTTTCTTAACACCAGGCTCTGTAACATGAAGTTTCTATTTGTCATTAGCACATCAGAAAAGAATAACAAGGTGAATTTTCATCAGGTTTTGAGGATGTTTTGAGATAGTCTGATCTATAATATAAATTAGGTGAAATTAACTTTGGGAGGCCTTGCGGGACACCTCCAAAGTTGAGAGAGGCAACCTCCAGAGCCGCAGAAAGTGACATAGGTGAGTCCCGTGCATCTGCAGGCAGGAGAGGGTCCTCTGAAGATTGAGGTGCCCGGGGCAGAGATCCCAGACAACAGTTTTAAATATTAGCCTCTAATGGAACTTACAAGAGGAGATGATTTTCATTGCAGCCACTGATTATCGTACAAACTGCTCCCAACACGGGCAACTCCACACAGCACGTTCCAGGGGGAGCAGCTTGGGAGTTTAACAAGGGCTGATGACTCTCTCATGCGATGCAGGGGAGGCTGGCGCGTACACATACGTCGTAGTCTTGTGTTGATCTCTGTGTGCGTGGTGTGTAGTATGTGTGCCTTAGTGTGTGTCCCTCCTTCATTCAGCTCTTACAGTCATGCGGTAACGCCATTCACTCAATCCCAAGACATATTGGGTGCCTGCTCTGTTCTAGATGGCAGCAATACAGAAAGATCAGGGCCCTGAAAGAATGATGCTCATGGAAGTTAGGATTTTATCTGCACAGCCTGTGCCTAGATCAGTGCTGCTGGTACACAGTTCATGCTCAGTAGATGCTTATTGAATGAATGGTATGACAGTGTGTGTGTATATATATATATAATGAATATATAATAATCTACGTTAGCATGTTGTGTGTCTATTACAATGTATATCACTGCAGTGTAGCTGTGGAGTAATATGGACATATGGTATGTTTATTAGTAGGTTTCTGTTGTACACATCTTACTGTCTAAATACTTTTGTTCCCTAATTTCCCCCCCACAACTTCTTCCTGCTTCAAGCCCGCAAAAACAGAGTAAAACAGAGAAGACCGAGCTCGTACTTGGCCTCAAAGCACAGTCCCATTTGCATAGCAGTCCTGACCCGATCCTGAGCGCTGCTGCTCATGGAGGTGGAAGAAGGCCCCAGAAGGGGCCTCCCCTGTGCCCCCTTCTCCTGGTGCACCACCCTCCCCTCCATGTCTCTCGAGCCGTCTCTGGCTTGGGCCTTGTTTTGTCTGCCCCCAGGAGACTAGTGTGGGCACCGCATCCATTTCGCCTAATGACTTGGTCTCGGCAATCAGCAGACTAGTTGGTTTTCAAGTTGAAACAGGAAAGGTTTGCTGATTACACAGACTCTGAATTTCCCAAATCCATCTCCCTGGGAGGTTCCTGCTGAGCCTGAGGCGTGACCCCAGGCAGATGGGGGTGGGGCGCGGAGGGCAAGGGGCACAGCGGAGGGAGGCAGTAGCGGCAGGTCCCCGGCAGCACAGGCCTCACCTGTCTGTGGATGGTTTTCTTGCTCTCAGCTGTCCTCGCCCTGTCTAGCTAACTCATCCTCTAAGCTGCCCTTGCTTTCCACCCCCGTCTTTCCTCTGCAGATGGTGAGAAAGCTTTCAGAGCCCTGCATGCCAGCCTCCTTATTCTCTGCGTGACCTTGGCAACCCCCACCCCCCGCCAGTGACGTGGGGACACCCACACAGTTGCTCATCGTTCTCTGAGCGTTAAGACATAGCGAGGCCACCACTGGCCAAGCCTTTCCTCTCTGCCAAGCTCATTCGATCCTCACAGCAGCCCTGGGACGGGGACTACGGCTGCCCCCATTTTACCCGTGCGGGTCAGAGAGGTTGAATAACTTGCTGAAAGTCACACAGCCACTGAGTGGTAGAGCTGGGATTTGAACGCAGGCATCCTGGCTCCAGAGCCTACTTTCACTTTCATGATATTATGGATCTGATGCATCTCAGGTCCCTATTTCCTCTGCTCACCTGCTTGGTCCTGGCTCAGAGCCACCTGTCCCTGAGACCCAGCATCCTTCCCTTCCCTGTCCTCTGTCCGCCAGGAGGCTTCTCGCGGATCGAGACTGTAAGACCTCGTTGCTCCCTCCGTGTGACCTTGACGTGGGCCAAGGTCACGCAGGCACAGCCAGGAGGGGACATCTGGGCTCCTCTCTCTCAGCTCGTGTGGCCTAAGGGCCTCACCTGAGAACCCAAGACTTGGCTGCCCAGTTTTGTGGTCTCCCAGCTGCATGACCTTGGGTGGGTCTTTTTGCTGTTCTGGTGAGAGATGAGTGTCCTCATCTCTAAAAGAAACGTTCACCACGTGCCTAGAATGGCCCAGACATGGACATGGGTAGCATCTCCACATCTCACAGATACACAGGTGCCTCGTCCCCTCGCCTCCCAGGGACGCTGTCATCCCGGCCCACTAGCAAGAAGCAGCGCTCGGGCGACGCTCCTGTAATCTCCTGGGATCGTGTGCCCAGCCATTTTCCTAGGTGTCTTTATGAGCTGACAAGCTCGCATCCTGGGCAAACACCCTCCTCGCCGTCCCACGGTATGTTATTTCCTCTGACAGTCCACCGACCTCCTGCCTGGGGCCCTGCCTCAGACCATTTCTCACCTTGTCAGCACCAAGATGGGGATTTCACAGCTGGCTGTTTCAACCCAGGGCACCACTCCCCCACCTCTCCACGCCGCCCCTTCCCTCGTCAGCTGGGCTGGCTTCTTTGGCTTTCTTGGTCTTTGCTCGCTCTCTCTCTCAAATTGGAGAAGACTCAAAATCAGTGTAAAGACACAGATTTACAATACCGTGAATGGACAAGCTGGTCTGCTATGAGCTGAGCGTGTCCCTGTGACGGGGAGCAGCCCTGGTCCCCGCTGGCTTTCACTGGGGCGGGCAAACAGAGCCCCAGAAAGATCACTGGCCTGGGAGTGGGGCAGACTGGGGTTCCCCTCCTTGCAGCCTTGAGTGACTTCAGTGGCCTCGATTTCCTCATCTACAAAATAAGGAAAAACAATCCCAGGCTCAGAGAGGGACTGTGAACCGTTCACGGTCCCACAGCTAGTGGGTTGCGTGGGGAGCTGGGAATTGTACTTAGATTGATCCTCAATTCTTAGTTTTCACCCCTTCACGCTCTCATCAGTTGGTATATACATGTTTCTTAAAAGACAGCAGTCAAAAAAGAAACTTGACATAATTAGAACAGCTCAAAAGAAAAGTCCTATCCATAACCCCTCTTTGCTCCCATCCATAAATATTCTCAGCTCTCCAAGTGTTTTCCCAACTGCATGTGTGCTATTCGCATGTAGACTGGGGCACGATATTCTCTGTTCTCTTCTGCTTGCTTAATGGTATTTCACAGAAGGCGTTCCACACCGCCACCATCCTTATTTCTAACGTTGACGTCTGCCTAATAGCATCAAAGTGACGCGCTGTGATTTCCGTAACCAGTCCCAGTTGCTGGGTGACAAGGCGGCTCTCAGCCTCTCGTGTCATCAGTAGCACAGCCCCAGGCATCCTTGGTTACAGAAACTTGCTCTGTGTTTTAGTTTACACCCCATGGGATTAATTCCCAGAAGGTGGGTTTCTGGGTTTAACCCAGGGTTTCTCAGGCTGGACACTGTTGACATTTGTGTGAAGTAATCCTTCATGGTGGAGGTTGCCTTGTGCGTTGTAAGATGCTGGGCAGCGCCCTTGGCCTCTACTCTGCTAGATGCCGTCAGACTCCCAAGTGTGACAACCAGAAACGCCTCTGGACGTCGCCTGATGTCCCCTGGAGGGCAAACTCACCGTCAGTTGACAGTCATTGTGTTAAAGGGGAGGCGTGTGGGAATAACGTTACAAATGAAAGTCAGAGATTTTCCAGAGAGTCTGGACAAAAATCCAGTCAGGGCAGAAAGTAACGGGATGAGCATGGAGAGTCAGGTGCACCAAGCTTGGGTTCCAGCTCGAGTTCCAGTTCAAGCTTGCGGCCCCCCAGGCCTCATTTCCTCATCTGTGAAATGGGATCAGTAATAAATAGCCACGTGCCAGACTTGTGAGGAGTGAGTGAGGCCAGGAGCGTGAAACGCTGAGCACAGTGCTGGGCGTGGAAAGGTCTCAGTGAGCGCCAGCGGTGCCGGCCGGCTCCGCGGGGACCCCCACTGGGGTTTCCATCTTTGCCTTTTGCTGCCTTTGAGGATGGAACGTTGGGGGGGTCTAGGTGACAGAGCTGTGAGGGACCCGTTCTTGTTCTGCCCTCCCCCCAATCTCCCGCTCCACATCCATCCCTGGGACAGAGACTCCGCTTCCAGAACCAGCCTCCGCAACTCTCCTGGGAAACATACATTGACTCATCCATTGACCCATCTATCCAGGGTGTCCACTTGGGGCCGGCACCCCCCGTGTGGGTGAGTGGGCTCTGTGCGGGGCCGTGCCCTGGAGCCCCCAGGCATCCACTTCCTCCTCTGTAAAATCCAGAGCATCTGAGGGTCCACGAGCCCGTCCATAGAGAGAGCCCCTCGTGGGCACGCACCACGTCGCAGGGTCCCAGTGAGCGCCAGGCTCCTCCCCAGAGCTCTCGTAGGCGGGTGGGGGTCTCGCCCAAGGCCAGCGTGTGCTGTGGTCTCTGTCTCCAGGAGAAGTACGTGGAGGAGCTCGCCGCAGTGAGACAGACCCTCCAGACAGACCTGGAGACGTCCATCCGGCGGATCGCCGACCTGCAGGCAGCCTTGGAAGAGGTGGTATCCAGCGACAGCGACACGGAGAGGTAAGCTACCAGGAGGCGGCTGGGGCTGGGCGTGGCAGGTGGGCTGCACCCTGGGGAGCTCTGCAGCCTCCGGTGGGCAGTGCTGCCCCTCTCAGGTCTGGGGGTCCGGGGACTCAGGCGCACCAGGGCGTGGGAGGAATAACTGGCCGCCTCAGGCGAGCAGAGGCAGGACGCTTCCCCGCTGGTGGTGACGTCTCCGTGTTACCGCCAAACGCCTAGAGCCCGGTTCGCCGAGCCTTTGGGGAGACAGTCTGGAGAAATGGCTGCAAAGTGTCCTCCAGTGTGTGATCTCGGGCAGGTCACACATCCAGTCTGGGCCTAATTCCCTCATCTGTAAAGTGGACATAGCACTACCGGGCAAACCACATGAAATGGCCAAGAGTTGACCCCTGTTGACCTACAGAGGGGACGTTCCGTATACTCCGCTCACTCCCCGCCTCGTAGCTTGTGCGTGAGGGTGGAGTGAGTCACTAGGTGACCAGCGTCGGGGCATGTAAGTGCTGCAGGAGTGTGGGCTGTGTCTGCACAGAATAATGAGTGTTATTTCACAGAGGCAGCAGCTGGTCAAGGGTGCAAGATTAGAGCGTTGGCCCTCAGCTTCAATGTCAGGGCTTCTCTCCTGCCTCAGAAGACAGATAGGCCGCCTCCCGCCGACTCCAGCCAAGTCTCAGGCTGCACAAGCCACGAGTGGGCTGCCCCGCTGGGAGTGGTTGGAGGTGTCCCGGCGGGCACACAGCCCTGGCTGTCACCCTGCGGATGGCCCGTGGCATCCTGTCGCCCTGAGCTCCCTCTGTAGCCTTGACACGTTATGTCTCTGGAAATCATAGCTGCACATCTTGCTGTGGCGTGTCTACCTCCATGTCAGCCTCTGCAGCAAAGCCTGGGCGACAGGGAGAGACGTTTTCTTTGTGCAGACAATGAGACAGGGGCGGGATGCCCCGAGTTACCCGTCAGGTGTGGTTCCTCCCGGGAACCAGCCAGCCACCTCTTACTGGGGTGTGGGCAGGGCCAGCTGCCGACTGGCGGGAGGTGTGGGTGAGCCGGGCAGCAGGGGAGGAGAGACAGTTGTGTGTGGGCTGTGGTCCAGCCCGTGGGAAGAACCAGACATCTGTGTTAGAGCTGACCACGCCCAGTCCAGAAAAAAGACTGGAAGGAAACACACCAACGTTCTAATACATTGGGAAGGCATTACTGGTGACCTAAATTTTTATTTTTTTCAGGCTTATGTAGATTTTCTCAAATTTCTGCAAGGAGCATGCACACACGTCCCTAGCTCTACTCGCGTCCTCTTTGGGAGATTTTGCTCGTATAAGTCATGTACTTTATGCCTCGATAGGAGGCCATGAGCACATTCTCTCCTTGATGCAGTCCTGGGCTGGTCACAGCTGCTCAGCAGCGTGTAGCCTCCGACTTTCCCGTGAAGATGTTCATTCTCAGCATCAGTGTGACAGAGACCCAGTGGACTTGCCATGTTCTAGCCTCTAAATCAAGGGCTTTATCTCAAACGTCCTCAGTTTGTGCAAAAATGGCTCCCACGCAAACATTGTAAGGATTTCTGCCACGCCCTGAAGGTTTCCACAGCTGCCAAACTGCTGGTGAAACGGCTAATACTGATGCTGCAGCTGCTTCCAGCTCAGGGTCACGTTCAAGAACCCCCTCCGCCTCCCCTCCTCCAGTTTTATTAGTGTCATAACAGAACTAACATCTGTAATTACAAACCCCTGGCGTCAGTATTACCCGCTCGATGCTTGGCTGGCCTCTCCGTTAATAGAAATGCTAGGACTTTTGCATTAATCATAATGGGAATTAATGGCTGTATGTACTAGTATCTTGTGTTCTTTTGTGTGTGTGTGAATGAGCAAAACTTTTAAACCATTTTTACTTGCATAGCAATAGATTGCTTTTCTAATAAACAATAAAAATTCTAAAAATAACAAGATTGGAAAGAGGCAGAGAGTCTGGGCTTGGAGGTGCAGGGACACACTGGACAGAAGGTGTGACAAAGAACAAGGAGCAGGTTCTCACCTGGCGCATGAGGTCCTGGCAGTGAGGTCACAGGTGGTTACAGACATCGCTCTGGTCTCTGTTTATAGGGGGTCCCCTCAGGCCTGAAAGGGACCCTGCCTGCACCCTCTCCTAATAGGAGATATTTTTATCTGTCTTTGCTCCAGGTGACAAGCCTCATGCTCACCCCCTGGTTCCCATCCACCTTTTCTGAGCTCTAGTCCCTGGGCCCCCAGGGATCCAATCTGAACCCTAGCTTTCTGTCTGCATTTTCACGATCTTTTGTCTCTGGGGCTTTACATCTTCGTCTCGCCTGGACGTCTGGTGCCTTTTCCTCGTCCGAATCTCCAGTGTCCGCCCAGTACCTGACTCATGCTTCCCGACACTGGAGGGGCCCTCACCTGCGTCTCAGGGTTGTGCGAGGGGTGAAATGATCATAGAACCCCAGGTGTGAAGAAATGCATCTTGTACCTGGAAGAGCCCAGGCGATGCATGGGGTTCTTGCAACTGGAAGTGGAGGCAGCTTGGGGAGGGCGCAGGCGCTGCGTTTCAACCAGCCTCATTTCCAGTCAGGGATCCAGCGGTTCATGTCTGCATGACCTTCTGTGAGTTTTTCAACCTCTCTGAGCCTCAGTCTCTTCATTTGTAAGACGGGTTGATAATAAGAAGTAAGTGAAAGAATCTGACCCAGGTTTAGTGCCTTTTACCTGGCAGGGGCTCAGCCGTCATCAGTTCCATTCATTCATTCATGTGATTGATTCTGCGTGGTCCACACCAGACACTGCGCCGAGTGTCTGTCTTATTCCACGCTTCTTGTTATCATGTTTCTCCATCTTAGCGATACAGGGAGATTGAATAACTTGCCCGAGGTCAGGCGGAAGTTAAATTCCTGAGGGAGTAGTGAGGGAGGAGAGCACAGATATGGTCTCTGCCTTCGTGGAACCCACATTGTGATGAGCGAGTGCGCTCGCGCGCGCGTGTGTGTGTGTGTGTGTGTGTCCCCGCCCATGAATACAGTGGACAGACTGATGAATAAAATGCTGGGATACAGTAGGAATTACAAAGACAGAGAATGCAGAGCTCTGATGAATGACACGGGAGGTAGACATGGCCTGTCTGAGAGGAAGAACTGAACTGAAACCTGGATTAAAAGAAGGAGCCAGGGCTTCCCTAGTGGCACAGTGGTTGAGAGTCCACCTGCCGATGCAGGGCACACGGGTTCGTGCCCCGGTCTGGGAGGATCCCACATGCCGCGGAGCAGCTGGGCCCGTGAGCCATGGCCACTGAGCCTGCGCGTCCGGAGCCTGTGCTCCGCAACGGGAGAGGCCACAACAGTGAGAGGCCCGCGTACCGCAAAAAAAAAAAAAAAAAAGAAGGAGCCAGACGCGGGAGCTCTGGAGAAAAGTGAGTCAGGGCAAATGAGAAATGTTCTAGGAAGTGAGGGTTGACCAGTGTGCCCGAGTGAGATCAGTGGGAAAGAAAGGCTCTCTTCCTCTTGCTCCTTCCCTCTCTCCCACCTGTCTTCCCCTTTCGAAGTGGCCCATGGAAGACCACCGTGTCCCCGTGAAGCGCCCCCGAACCCCGGGCAGGACTGACGGGCACCATCCGTGGGTCCACCGTGGAAGGAGAACGTGGGGCTTCTTGTTCAGAATCGGTTCGGAATTCCAGGCAGTCACAGCAGAGTGTCACACCAAGCACAGGCCCCTCTGGGCACGGGCTGGAAGCCTGTGAAGCCAGCCCTGAGCCCAGGGTGGTCTTCGGGAAGCATCTCCTAATGCCCAGTAGGCCTTGGTCCCGACTCGCTGTCTTGTAACTTAGATTTGGAACTTCCACAGAGCGTGGGTTTCAATAATAGCATAGGAGTGGGGGAAGACTGGGGAAAAGTGGCCACAGAGAAGCCTCAGCACTTCTCAAGTCTCAATTTCAGAGGATTAGTGTCACGCAAACCATGCTGTCTGGCCGCAGCACAGCTAAACTGGTTATCAACAATCCAAAGAAATACAGCGCGCCACTGGGTTCTAGAGCCGCGTGCAGAGCAGAGCCCCAGTTCCTGCCCCAGGGCCAGCCCGAGCTCCTGCCCATCCTGACAGCTCAGCCCTGCACTCCCCTCTTCATTGCCTCATCACCTGGGGAAAGGGGCTTGGATTGGAGCCTCAGGGATTGGGCCAAGGTCTGTCTCCAAACTGAGCTCTCAATTAGGATTCAAACCCACCGTGGGAGAGAGAGAGCGATTGGTGCTTCAGCTGGAGGTGAATTTCTTTGGGAGACTTGTTCAAATTATGAAAAGTCGCATTTCCCCATGTTGGGTATTAGATCCGAGTGTAACGGGCCTTCCAGGCTGGAAACGTGGCTACGTGCTCAGAAAGCCAGGTGGCCAGTGCGGCAGCATTTAAACGCGTACCCGCCTACACCAGGGCCCTGGCGGAGTAACTTAGACTGTGGCGTCAACCTCCTTAGATTAATGGAGAAATGCTTTCCGCTGTTCCCCCGGGCCTGGCGCCTGCTCATTACTCGTGGAGGGAGGGGTGCGTCAGCTGACAGCCCCATCTGTTCCTGGCCCAGGGTCTGCAGCTGCCCTGTCATCACCTTGGCTGGGAGTTTGGGTTGGGAGGGGGGAGTGTCAAGAGGTCAGTGGATGACCCCTGACTCCTGGGTCAGCCAAGAGTGTCTCCACACCAGCTGGCCCCATCTGAGATGAAGGCCCTGGAAAGGAGTCCTCTGTTGCTGTGTTGAGTGTAAGTTGTACATTTTCCAACATACATCCTTTTAACTTGGCTAAAACAAGGCTGCGGTGGGACAAGTAGAAAGATCTGGGTCTAACCAAAGATTGCCGCTGCCACTGAGGGCATAATTCTGAGTTAACTTACTCATCAGTGGGCCCAGGCTCTGGTCAGACTGTAACGGTCCCTGCTATGAAGTAGGACGGGCTCTGGGACTCCCTGCGTCTCTTTTCCCACAACTCTCTTACCTCCTAATTTTGCTTAGAAGGAAGAGCTTAAAGCACTTCTCCATTATTCTAGACATCCAAGCTACATCACAGGGCCCTCATGCAGAACAGCACATTTAAGTGATGCCACAGAGGACACCTGTCTTTCTAAGCATCTTTCTAGCTTGGAAGGCCTGGATACCCAGCTAGTGGGGTTCGTGGGGAATGAGGGCTCCAAACTGCTTTATCCACTCTGGCATTACAGGGCATCGTGATCATTGTGCTAATAGTCTTTCCTGCGGACTTACTTTGTGCCAGGCCATGCAGCCTACCTGTCTCACATACATAGTTCTCACAGCAACTCTCTGAGGTTGGTAACCATGATCACCCCCGGTTTACAGAAGAGGAAACTGGAGCTTAGAGAGGTCAAGAAACTGGCCCCAGCTCACACAGTAAGTGATGGGGCCGGGATTTGATTTCCAGGTTGACCCCATCACCCACACCTCCAGTGACTAAGCTCTGCTGTCATGTCAGACGTACCCCATCTTTCCCCTTTCTGTTGTCAAGGCCTTTGTTCTCTGCCAAGGAACTGGACTGTCATTCTTGTGAACTTGTGTCTGTCACTGTGATGTGGTACCAGTGCATTCATGTGTTACTTCCCAGGCAGCGTTTGCATTCAGGCTGGAGTTGTCTAGCGAAGACTCCCCTGAAAGGAATACAACAGAAGACATTTAGTAACTTCTCTTGCTCATCAGCAATCCCCCTGTCCACAAGTGCCTGGCCCAACTTCCTCTTGAAAAGTCACATGCACCAAGGCAAGAGAAAGAACCACTGACCACGTGTCAGGAGATGAGGGGAAAACCAGGCACCACATATGTTCCAGTGCTGGCTGCACTGCCAAGGAGATCAGGACCATGGACAGGTCACCTGCCCTTCCTGGGCCTCTGCTTGCCCACCCAACAGATAAACAACATCATCATCATCATCACCATCATCATCATCATCGATGAGAACCTCCCATGTTAGGGCAGGAGGTATGGTTGCGAACAGGCAAACGTGGATCTGCCTCATGGAGCTTGAAGTCCAGAGACTCTTTCTTGTGGTGGAAGGGTCAGTGGGTTTTAAACTCCTTTAAGAAGAATCCCCTCTTTTACACCAAAGCAAACTCCTATAGAAAATTCTAGCTTAGGTTGAAGTACAGCCGTCCTCTGATCGGAGTGAGAGAGGACGTTTCCCCATGGGTGGACTCAGTGTTTGAATTTGCTCCGTTCTGAAAGGGCTCTTTCCCCCCAGACTAGAGACTCATTTACTTTGAGATGTCCAGTTGTGCCAGTTGAATTAACACCAGCCTGCACCTTGGTTAGTTGCATTGTGCTCTGCAGACATTCCTGTGCTGGGTTCAATTAAAGATTGAACCAATGAAGTGGGTGAGGAAGTATGGCCAGCTGCCCAGACCTTGTCTCCTACAGAGTTCAAGGCCAGTTGCCTTAGGATTATGGAGACATTAGCTTGCCCAGGCACCCACCAGGATCTCTGGGCACACCCTCTTGTAATCAGGGTCATGGACTCCTGGGGTGGGAAATGGGCCTGAAGCCCCTCCCTCTCTATCGTCATGCCTCAAGTCCCACCCCCACTGCGGCCCGTGTTTGTCCTTCCTCCCTGCTTGCGGGCACGAGAAACCTTGTTCCAGGTACAACTCACCCTCTCTGTTTTTAAGGCGCATGCCACACTGTTGTGAACGCTACAGCTTGGGCCGTAAGACCCTTCAGTTCTTTTGTCTTTCTATGAGCGTTTCAGAAGATGTAGCCCTGTTCACGCAAACCCCTCCCTCCGCTTCCCAGGACCCTTGCCTACCACATTTTAGCTTCGTTGGTCAGCTGGAACCAGTGTCCTTAACTGGGGTCTGTGAACTAGTAGGTCGAGGGAGGGGGTGTCCACACACGAGTTCTAGAGATTATACTCTGAACCCTCAGATACTGCACTAAAATTTGGGTCTGTGTTTGTGCGTTTGGGCAAATGGAAGTTCCATGGTCTTCATAAGAGATGCTCATAGGGACTTCCCTGGTGGTCCAGTGAGTAGGACTCTGTGCACGCATGCTGCAGCTAACAGTCCACATGCCACAACTGAAAAAGAAGATCCCGCCTGCTGCAGCTAAGTCCTGGTGCAGCCTAAATAAGTAAATAAAAATAAATCTTTTTAAAAAATGCTCATAAAAGGCCCAGGACTCCTGCTCTAGGGGCCTAAGTGCATCCTCTCCACTGCACATAATTTTTTAGCATCCGAGCATCTTGGCTCAAACGCCTCATTTCACACACCGGACACCCCGAACAGGGAAGAGAGGAGGCCAAGGCCACACAGTGAGGACACGAGGATTCAGTTGCCTTTCCTCCCAGTCTGGTGTTCCTTCTGCAGCCCCAGTGCATAGAGCCTAAGAAGAGACTCAGGCCACCAGCAGAAATAAAGCTGGTTCTACTCACACTGTCCACTTCAGTTAAAGTTTTTAAGTATTTTTAAATAGTTTGTTTAAAAGCCGAATCAGAAAAAATTCATATAGATCCTCAAGAAGATTTAGGGTCACTCACAAAGATACTTTTATTCTATTGCAGGGGTTTTCTATTGCTGTCATAGCAAATTAGCTCAAATTTTATGGCTTATTAACTTACAGTTCTGTTCATTAGAAATCCAGTCTAATCTCCCTGGGCTAAAATCAAGGTGTCAGCAGAGCTGTGTTCCTCTGGAAACTCTAGAGGAGAATCCATTTCCTTGCCTTTTCCAGCTTCTAGAGTTTACCCACATTCCTTGGCTTGTGGCCCCTTCCATCCTCAAAGCCAGAAATGTTGCATCTCTGACTCTTCTTCCATAGCCACGTGTCCCTCTGACCACATCTGGGAAAAGGTCTCTGCTTTTAAGGATTGGAGTCATTAGACTGGGCCCACCCCAATAATCCGGGATAACCTCCCTGTCTCAAGATCCTTAACCTTAACCACATCTGCACAGCCCTTTTTAACATGTCAGGAAACACAGTCATAGGTTCTTGGGATTAGGGATTAGGATGTTGACATCTGTGGGGTCATTATTCTGCCTCTCAAGAGGTCGTTCACAAAAGATGCTTTTTGTTAATACTGGAGAGGTCGACAAATTTTTCTTTAAAAGGCCAGATAGTAAATATTTCAGGCTTTTCAGACAATGTGGTCTCTGTTGCAACTACTCTGCTCTGCCACCGTGGAGCAAAAGCAGTAGTGGACAGAATGCAAATGAGTGGGGGTGGCTGTGTTCCAATAAAACTTTATTTATAGGAGCAGATGTGTAGGTTAGATTTGGCCCATGGCCGTCATTTACAGACCCCTCTTCTATTGGATTCACCAGGCATTCTCTGAGAGAACTTCTGCTCTAGCCTTTGCCCTGGGGCTAAAGGGACAAATATGATGTGTTCTTGGCCTGTGAGGGACTCTTTCAGTCTGGTGGGGATGAATAGGTGTTAGTAGAGACCCCAAGAGTGACTGGCCCTTGAGGGTAGGGACCAAGGAGCTGCAGGTGCATCCTTCAGAGGAAGTGACAGGGTTTCTGGGAAGGAATTGCCCAGATTTCACTGAAAAATAAAGCTGGGAGGTCCCGGCCTGAGGAACCAGGATTAAAATGACGGCTCAGGTGTCTGAGGTTTGTGGTTTGGGTGTCTACACCCGTACACTGGGTGGTTGCACTCTGGTTAAGAGCATGAGCTGAGTAGCTCTTACAGACCTGGGGGATTCAAAGCTGCGTGACCTTGGACAAGGGTGTCAGCTTCCTCAACTCCAGGAGGGAGACTGGCAAGGTGGTTAGTGGGATCGTGTGTAATGCGTATTTGTTGAATCAAGGGATGCTCCCAAGACAATAGCTAACTATTGTAATTAGCTCAGAGTTTCCCAGAATGCACTGGGAAAGCCGACCACCGCATCCCCGTGTCTGATTCGCAAGCACTCGCAAAGAATATAGAGCAAATGCTCATTGACAATTATGATGCTATTAATAGCAGTACTAGTTGTACTAAAACAAGAGGAGTGGTAATGGTTGCTACCCTTTAATTAACATTGCTTGTTTGCCAAGAGCCATGCTGAGATCTTTATAAGGGTTATCTCAGTCTGCTCCACATCTCTGGGGGAGAAGGCGATTATTAGCTACATTTTACAGAAGACCACAGGAGGCTCAGAGAAGACAAGTGACTTGCCTAAGATCACACAGTGGCAAAGGTTGGAGGTGGGACTCAAACCCAAGTTTATTTAACGTCAAAGACTGGGTTCTTCCCCAGGCCCTGGCAGCACAAGGATAACAGACTCTTTCTTGTGCCTTCTTCTAGTGTCCAGACAGCAGTGGATTGTAGCGGCAGTGGCAGAAAAGAGACGTAAGTTAACCCTGAGTAGAACTGAGCCAATTACACCAAAGCCCAAGACGAGCCCCTGGCCCTCTGTGTCCAGTTTGCAGAAGAAACATCCACACCCACCTGGAGAGTTATCCACAGTGCCCGCGAGAGCTCTTACTCCATAGTCATAACATATAGCCCCGGGGGTGTACTACTGAACGTCCAACTTCTCGCAGACAAAGAGAAGCCCATGACTTACCATGCCACCGTTCTCAGACACCGTCAGTGGCTCCCCGTTGCCTCAGAAGAGACTTTTTAGACTGACATTTGAGCCCTGCACATTCTGACCCTTACTTCCCCCTCCACCTGGGGCTCCTGCTTTCCATATCATCCGTGCCTTACGTACCTATGTGTGTGCTGTTCCTTCCAGGCCTGTGTAGCCAAGCCCTAACCTTCAAACAAGATGTAGCTCAACTGCCACTACTTGATTCCTTCCTTTATGCCTCCAAGAAGCAAATCAAGGCTCCCTCCTTGTCCTCCTTGGAACCTATCTTGTCTTTATCTACAGCATTGATAATTTTCTTTTACGGTTATTTATATAGATGTCTACTCTGCTAAAATGGGGTCTTGAGGGCAGGGTCAATGTTGGGTTCATGTTTATCGTTCCTTCCCATGGTGCCTGGCATAGAGTGCTCTATAAACAAACAAACAAATTTGTGTATATATCAATGTATAAATTTATTATATATTATATATAATATATATTTGAGTGAATATATCAACCAGAAAACATATCAACCAGAAAACAATCGTTGAATACCCAGAGCAATGAGAGGCCCACACAGGCCTCTCCCTGTGCTGCTTTCAGTAATAGGGGGCCTACAATTAAGTCTCTGTCCCCAAAGACATTCCAGCTTAGGTAGGCAAGGAGTTAAGGCCTTCACACTTGACATATTCCGTGACCATATCATTTGGTATGCAATTCAGTGCCAAACTTTACTCCAAAATTAGAGATACCTCAGCATCTATATTAGAGTGTTTATCTTCCCAAGGAAGAGCAGTGGTTATCAGCACGGGCGTTGGAATTGGGTGACCTTAGTCAAGACCCAAGCTGACCTCCCCAAATCCCGTTACTCTCATCTAGGTAAGAGATGCAGCACTGGCTCCCACCGCTCAGGGACGGTATTGTGAGCACTGATTAAAGTTATGCATGTCAGCACTTAGCACAATGCCTGGCTCATGCTAAGGGGTGACTATCTAGTTATTGCTGTTACTGTAGTTGTCATCATGTTGACAATATCTTGCATTCTGGTTCTAGAGATAACGTCTCCATCCTCAGCTCCCAGCCAGAGGGCAGTCTGCAGTCCTGGTTGAGTTGTACTCTGTCCCTGGCCACAGACACGGTGAGGACCCCCTCTCGACAGTCAGCCATCAGCAGCTGTATCCTCAGCCCTAGGTAAGAGTATCTCCCTGCTGCCTCTGGATGACCAATAGCTGAAAGAATCTCAGGCTTTGACGGTTGCTGTTCAAGTCTTCCATTTCCTCTGTCCTAGCCAAGGACAAGCATGGTCCAGTTTGAGGTATGACCCTGCCACTTCCTAGCCGTGTGACTTTAGGCAGACCAGTTACCCTCTCTGAGCCTTCACTTCCTCACCTGTAAAACAGGAAATAAAATTGTGTTTACTGCTCCAAACAGGTGAAATGATGAGAATCTAATACAGCCGTCCCTAAAGCACAGTTTTCCAGATGATTTTAAATAGCGGGGGGTGAACATTTTTAAAAATAGCTGTGGATTTATTATAGTTGTTTTCTAGCTAAGGCAAATCCCACTAGTTTTCCACTTATAGATAGTTTTGGATTTAAAGTTTTCTCTATAAACATATTTACTTAAAGTTTTTTGGTTTTGTTTTTCTTTTAATGGGGAGTCCATATAAAAACTGTTAGGCTGGATGATTTCCTCCTCAGAAATTTCAGCTTTGTTTGAATGTCAGAATTTTATATTTTTTTCCTACCATAGAAGGAGACACATTCAGCCACAGCCTGAGATGGGACCCTCACAAATCTATAGGACTGGCAACAATGTTGCTCCAACAGATGGGCCCCAGGGCTCAGCCTTCGCTGTAGGACTTCAATCCATCTTTCCTCTTGCTTTTCAGCTCCATTCCGCTCAGCTCGTATGGTTTTCCTTTTCAAGGGCAGCCCTCTTGTAATTAGGAGCTAATGGCCATACATCAGAAATTATGGCTTAAGCAGATGCGTAGTTAAGATGAAATGCACACAAATGCTTGTGTGATAACAGAGGAACCAATGTGATAAGATAGAAAGAAAAATCACAAACTAATGGCGCAAACCCAGACAACCCCTTCCTGACTTGAAATGTGTTTGCTCTGAAGCAGGGAGTTGTCTCTACAAAAAGAAAGGGGTGGAAGTTCGGGCACGTTCAGGAAATGGCAAATATCTGGCACATGCCTGCTGATAATCTTAGGCTGAAAGGTTTGATGTCGAAAATATCAAAGGGAGGCTCTGAGAGTGGGGTGCGTTGGGGGAGTTGATTAAAGCACGCTTATCTGATTACTGCTCTTAACTAAAAACAAAGACCTGTGTGGAGAAAGAGTCATGTCCTCTATGAACTCAAATGATGAGGACTTTTTCTCTCCTGATAACTGAATACCTCTGTTTTTCCCCATCAGCCAGTGTATAAGGCAGCAGAAGCAGAACTGGAGGAATGTGAGAGCTCATTAGCATAGTACCCAAGTTGCACAAGTATAATTATATTAGGCTGCGTGGTAAGGAGTTATGCCCTGAGTTGCTTGGCACCCGTGTGAGCGGGAGGTGGGAGGCCGCAGTGGTTTCAGTATACGGACTGAAGTCACAGCATCTGGCCTCCAATCCCACATTCGCTCCTCTGAAGCTGCGAGATTTGGGGCAAATTTTTGTGTTTTTTTAATAATTTTTATTGGAGTATAGTTGATTCACAGTGTTGTGTTGGTTTCAGATGGACAGCAAAGTGAATCCGTTATACATATACATGTATCCACTCTTTTTTGGGTTCTTTTCCCACACAGGTCATTACAGAGTATTGAGTAGAGTTCCCTGTGTTATACAGCAGGTCCTTATTAGTCATCTATTTTATATATAGTAGTGTGTATATGTCAGTCCCCATCTCCCAATTTATCCCTCCCCCCCAACACCATTCCCCCCTGGTAACCATAAGTTTGGGGCGAGTTGCTTAACTTCTCTGTTCGTGTTTTCTTGTGAGTAGATCATTGTCAGGGTTAATGAGAGGATGCACTCAGGGCCCTAGAAAGAGCTCAAGAAAATTAGCTGCTTTTATTAGTGTTGGTATCTAGTTGATGCCCAGAGTAACCCCAGGAGACTGATGTCATTACCCCCATGTCGCACAAGAGGGACATGAGGCCGAGAGGTTAGGGAACGACTGATTGAGGCAAAGACGGCCACACCCCAGTTCCTGTAGCTACACCTCGGGCAGCGCCTCCAGGCAGCCCTCTCTAGAGCCTAGTACCCCTTTTCCTGCCTGCTCCCCCTCCAAGTCCTCAGGCTTGTCCAGCTGCAGTTTAGAGCAGAGGGGCCTGCACCAAGGGCAGCAGTGGGGCAGGAGGCAAGAAGAGACCATAAGCTCCTTGTCAGTTTTCTTCATGTTGGTGTCCCTTGGGCTGGCACACAGATGGTGCTCTATAAATGTTTGTTGAATGAATAGCTGACCATAACATCAACACTTGAGCAGAAATACTAACTGTACTTGGTCACAGCTCATCATTGACTGTGACTCAGGGTCAGAAATTTGCTCCATGTCATTCAGCAAGTAAGTGAAAGAGGCAGGATTTGAACCCAGGTTTGAACGCCCCCAAAGCCTGTATTTGTGTTTGCCACACTGCCATGACTGACTTTTATCCAGGAGGTGGATCGCTCACCTGGCAGAGTTTACTGGCAAAGAGCTGGCCTGTTACTAATATTAAAACTGTATAAGAATCCTTATTCAACATTCAACATCCATTCAAAAGATGTTTATTAAGTGCCTACTGAGTGCAAGATTCCATGGCATTAAGCCCTGAAAATTTTAAGCCCTGTCCTTGGAATACGTTTACAATTTAAAGGTTCTAGAACATCTGAGTTGGAAGGGACCACTGGATTATTTAATCCAATTCTCTCATTATATAAATGGGAAAAACTGAGGTCTGCAGAAGGAAATATCTTACCTAAGCTTATAGTAAGGACTAACCCAGAGTTCAGGTTCCTTGACCTCCAGCTTTATAATCTGTAAATCCTTCTCCCTTTTAAGAACTTAGAATATATCTGAGAAGGCTACAGTCCTCCTGGCTACCACCCTAACCTCAGTTCCCTTCCCAAAGGTATCCATCGTCTTCAGTTTGGTGTGTATCCTTCCACATCTTTCTCTGTGTATTTATAAACATACATGTACTTGTAGCAAATACATAGCATTTTTGTGGGCTTTTAAAACACATAAATGGTATGATGTTATTTTATGTATATTATGCTCTAAATTCTTACGAAGTGCTTCTTTCCCTCAACAATATACCATGGAGATCTTTCCCTATCAGTCCACATAAGTCTATCTCATTCTTTTACATTCCTGCAGAAGAACTTTAAATGATGCCATGGGTTTACTAAACTGCAGTCTTCTTGTTTCACTTTTAGTTGAGTTCAGGATATTTGCTATTAACCTGTAAGCCTTTTTTTAAAAAAAAGCACACGTCCTTATGCACACGGGCAAATGATTCTCTGGGTCAAAGGGAATTTGCTTTTTAAACTTGACTAGATGCTACCAGATCATCCGGGCATTGTTTGTGCGAGGAGGCAGGATAGCATACAAGGCTCCTGTGTGCTCTCACACCCCCCGTATTCCCTGGCCCATCACAGGGCTCAAGATATGAGTCCCTTGGGCATTCCCAAACTTGACTGAGAAAGAAGGTCACTCTAAAAAGAGAAGAGAGAGAGAAAGCAGTCTTCTGCCAAAAAAATAAAAGCATTCCTTGTATTATTTATAAGGGGATGTCAGCACAAGAGAAATACACCTAAAGCTTTATGATTTCCAGCCCAGGAATCATGCAGCTGCCGCTGATAAATGCAAGAGCTACTGGTGACGGAGACGCTAAGTTACCTCCGTGGCCCCGGGGGAGGGAGTTCGCGGGCTTGGTGGTGGCAGCCACGCTCGGCTCCGGAGTCTCTCTTTTTTTTTTTTTTTTAACATCTTTTTTGGAGTATAATTGCTTTACAATGGTATGTTAGTTTCAGCTTCACAACAAAATGAATCAGTTATATATATACATATATTCCCATATCTCTTCCCGCTTGCGTCTCCCTCCCTCCCACCCTCCCTATCCCACCCCTCCAGGCGGTCACAAAGCACCGAGCTGATCTCCCTGTGCTATGCGGCTGCTTCCCACTAGCTATCTACCTTACGTTTGGTAGTGTATATATGTCCATGCCTCTTTATCGCTTTGTCACCGTTTACACTTCCCCCTCCCCATAGCCTCAAGTCCATTCTCTAGTAAGTCTGTGTCTTTATTCCTGTTTCACCCCTAGGTTTTTCATGACATTTTTTTTTTTAAATTCCATATATATGTGTTAGCATACGGTATTTGTCTCTCTCTTTCTGACTTACTTCACTCTGTATGACAGACTCTAGGTCTATCCACCTCATTACAAATAGCTCAATTTCGTCTCTTTTTATGGCTGAGTAATATTCCATTGTATATATGTGCCACATCTTCTTTATCCATTCATCCGATGATGGACACTTAGGTTGTTTCCATCTCTGGGCTATTGTAAATAGAGCTGCAATGAACATTTTGGTACATGACTCTTTTTGAATTATGGTTTTCACAGGGTATATGCCCAGTAGTGGGATTGCTGGGTCATATGGTAGTTCTATTTGTAGCTTTTTAAGGAACCTCCATACTGTTCTCCACAGTGGCTGTATCAATTCACATTCCCACCAACAGTGTAAGAGGTTTCCCTTTTCTCCACACCCTCTCCAGCATTTATTGTTTCTAGATTTTTTGATGATAGCCATTCTGACTGGTGTGAGATGATATCTCATTGTAGTTTTGATTTGCATTTCTCTCATGATTAGTGATGTTGAGCATTCTCTCATGTGTTTGTTGGCACTCTGTATATCTTCTTTGGAGAAATGTCTAGTTAGGTCTTCTGCCCATTTTTGGATTGGGTTGTTTGTTTTTTTGTTATTAAGCTGCATGAGCTGCTTATAAATTTTGGAGATCAATCCTTTGTCAGTTGCTTCATTTGCAAATATTTTCTCCCATTCTGAGGGTTGTCTTTTGGTCTTCTTTATGGTTTCCTTTGCTGCGCAAAAGCTTTTAAGTTTCATTAGGTCCCATTTGTTTACTCTTGTTTTTATTTCCATTACTCTAGGAGGTGGGTCAGAAAGAATCTTGCTGTGATTTATGTCATAGA